ACAATACAGGAGGGGTTCACCTAATAAGGTGACTTGCTGGAACACGTTGTAGCAGTGTTTGCATTTTCCTGACTCGGGTTACAGTATGAACCTGGGAAGTGAAGGTTCTCCATCTTTTCCCTGTGGTAGCGGCATCCCATCATTGTAACAGGATTACCAGACACCATGTAGAAAAGTTACAAAGAAGCACCGTGGTCCCAGTATCTATGGTAACTGACAAAAGAGCCGGTTTTCAGTAGTTTCTGCAGATCTGCATACAGCTTCCTAATTCTCTTCGTTTTCTGGCATTCTTTGTAGAAGCAGTTACCACAACAAGTGCACTGGCCCGTCTCCAGACATTTGGTGTGCTAAAAATATGATCTGCTGGGGAGAAATGTCAGTTAAATGGCATCCAAAAGAAATGTTTTTACAAACGTTTTAAATGTATTTGTCTGACCTTTTCGCTGTGTATTTCAGTGGGATGGGAATAGACGGGGGGGGGGGGGGGGGGGGGGGGGGGATAATTCGATCAAAGATGCATGCAGCTTAAACAGAACTTTTTTTTTTGCAGCCTAGAACACACGACAATTTTTTTTTTCCTCCTTTCGTTCAACCCAGTGGGCCGAACAAAACAAAAACCTGACAGCTCAGGAGGAGCTGCTGTACTAACTATCCAATGTTTGTTAGTACATCGATCTACCCTGCTGTGCTATTATGTTCTGAAAGGGGGGACGACCATTGGCTGAGAGTGCTTATCGGGAGCCAATCGACGGACCTTTTTCGGTCATGTCTTTTCGACAGAAGCGAGCTGAACGGCTGGATTCTGTCAGACCGGTTGCCATACACATGGGCCAAATGTCTATCTCTCTATTGAACCTCCCGATGCCGCTCCCAACATTCGGCCCGTGTGTACTAGGCTTAAGTCCAAACCTTAACAGGATGACGATTAGCTTGCTAAATCATTCCTTTGAACTTTCTCATATAGCCCGTACAGGGCTGCGTTCTGTTGTCTTTTCAGGCCGAGAACAACTTTATTTATTTCAGGTACTTGTATAGCGCCGTCAGTTTACGCAGCTCTTTACATATATATTGAATATTCACATCAGTCCCTAACCCTCAAGGGGCGTACAATCTAAGGTCCCTAACCCTCAAGGGGTGTACAATCTAAGGCCCCTAACTTACATTCATACATACATATACTAGGGACAATTTAGACAGGAGCCAATTAACCTACCAGCATGTCTTTGGAGTGTGGGAGGAAACCAGAGCATTCGGAGGAAACGCACGCAAGCACAGGGAGAACATGCAAACTCCATGCAGGAGGCGCCGTGGTCGGGAATCGAACCCATGACCCATTTACTGCAAGGCAGATGTGCTAACCACTAAGCCACTGTGCCGCTCTACCTTTATGGTTTATAAGTTGCAGCATGATCACTGAGACTCCAGTCCACTCCTTCTGCTGATGCCTTTCACCTCCCATTTCCATTCATGAAAGTAAAAAAAAAACCTTCAGTGTGCCGCTTCCCCGCAGCCCCCACAATACACAGAACCCAATCTTGATCCAGCAGTGTGGACAAGAGCAGCAGCTCTCCTGGCTCTTTCCCACCTCATTGGCTCAGGCACAGCTGCAAAAACCAGTGGCTCCCATTGCTGTCAATCACAGCCAATGAGGAGGGAGCTGGGGGGCGTGGCCAAACTGCGCTTTTTTTATGGACACACAGAGCTTAGCTCGGGAGCAAGCATATATGAGTGCCCTCAGAGCAAGCAGCATGCTATGGGGGTACTTGGCATGGGAGAGTGGTTACTATGCAGACCTGCACCAGATTTTGCAATCCGCTTCTAGTTTTTGTTTTTTTTTTGGTCAAAGGTTAATTGAACAAGCTGAAGTTAGAAGTTGATTGGCTACCATGCACAGCTGCACTAGATTTCGTACTCTCCAGTTTTACTCTCCCAATGTCTCTTGGTCGCGAGCAATGGCAGGGTCAGCAGGTAAACAGTTGGAATACAAGAAGTTTATAACAATATTGTAAACAATTGTATAACAAAAGTAGGAGGCATTTGTGGAATAATTAATGATTAGTGTGGAATTTGACTTTAAAGGATAAGTTCACCTTTGGGCACATGTTACATGTTTCACCTGTTTTTCAGGTGGAACATGTAACATGTTCCTGATCCTGCAGACGCCCGCTGCCCCCCTTTTTTGTGACAGAAGTGTAGGGAGAAGTTCCCTGTACTAGCTGTCACTTTTTAAAAACGGTGCAGCCATGTGGGGCTCCGCCCACCCAGCCGCGTCATTCAATTACAGTCCTCTGTGAATGAATGAACTACAGGTCCCAACAGCCGTAGCGGCTGTCAGCTTGTAGTCCTCAATGAACTGCCATGGTGCTGTGAGCGCTGGGGCAGTTCATTGATTCTTCCTGTAAGACGTATTGGCTTGCTTGTATGGAATGTACATGCAAGAAGGTACATTGACCGTCTGCAGGAGACCTGCATGATGTCAGCAATCTGCTGATCTCTGGTGCAATGCTTTACAGCAGTGGTTCGCAACCTTCCTAATGCCGTGACCCCTTAATACAGTTCCTCATGTTGTGGTGACCCCAACCATAAAATTATTTACTCTTTACACATTGGAAATGTGTTGTTCGATGGTCTTAGGTGACCCCTGTGAAAGGGTCGTTCGACCCCCAAAGGGGTCGCGACCCACAGGTTGAGAACCACTGCTTTAGAGGCTCCTGACACAAAAAAGAATAAATGCACATTTTTTTACCTGGGGAAAAAAAAAGCATTTTTTTTTTTTTTGTGGAAAGGTGAAGTTCTCCTTTAAATATTGCATTTACTATAGAGGTCTATTCCAGCATTTTTCCACCAGGGTGCCTTCTAGCTTCATCGGGGTTGCTGGGCTGCATCCCATATATTTACATAGTGTCAAACATTTCCATGGTGCAGATGAGGCAACCGAGGACCCTGATGGGGGGGCAGAGAACATGAATGTGAAGGATGTATGGGGGAAGTGAGGATTCTGATTTAAAAGGTGGGGGGACTGAGGACTTTGATGTGAAGGTGGGGATTGGGGACTTTTAATGTAAATGAAGGTGGGGCTGAAGACTCTCGTAAAAGGTAGTGCAGACGAAGCATCCTAATGTGAAAGAGAGGGAATGCAAACTCTGATATGGAAGGGGAACTGAGGATGCTTATGTGAAAAAGGGGACCTGGGGACTCTGATGCAAAATAATGGGGGAGACTTCTGATGTCATAGTAGGACCCCATTTTAGGCTTGGGTGCCTTTTTTAAATTTTGCTTAAATTTACATCATGCCATGAAAAGGTTGAAACGCTCATCTATAAAACTGAGTAATGTTATTGCCAAATGAGAAGAAAAGAGGGATTTGGTTCCAAAAGAGGGACAACATATCTGTATTAGGGACAGCTGGAAGTTGGAAATCATATTTTTAGAGAATAATTTTTGAATATTTAATTTTTTTTTTTTTTTTCTTTTTTGCATCTGTGCTGCTGATCTCCTCCATCCTGTTTGCAGCCCTCTCCAGTGCTTTTGTTCATCTATGCACTCCAGTGACATCTTCCTGTTAAGCGGGGTTTATAATGGGGTCAGCTAGAGAACAGGCCGGCACAATTTGTTTTGGCACAGTTGCTTATATTCTTCAGTTGAAGTGCAGGTGACACAGTGACAGTTGGGACATGGGGGAAGAGCTTGCTCACCCTATAACCAGGACCTTCAAGGCAGGTTCTACATAAATCCTTTTAATGGGAGCTGGAGGTTGAAAGAAGAACTCCAGCCAAAAATAACAAGTTAAAAATGAATAGCCCACCCTACCCGTACCCTTCGCTCCTCACAGGACCTCCTTCTATCCTGCTCCCTGGTCTCCTCCTCCCATGCATGACTGCAGGACTTCTCCAGGTCCTCTCCTATCCTCTGGAACTCACTGCCCCAATCCATCCGACTGTCTCCTTCCCTCCCCACATTCAGGCGCTCCCTCAAAACCCATCTCTTCAGGGAAGCCTACCCCACCCTCACCTAACAACCATTCTCCCTCATTCCTCCCACCACTTCATTCCCCTCAGCCACTTCCTATTGTTCCACTACCCCCCCCCTCCCTCCCTCCTAGATTGTAAGCTTGAAAGAGTAGGGCCCTCTTACCCCTCGTACGCTGTCTGTTTTTGTTGTACTGTGCCATGTATTGTCCCCCCCCCTATTGTACAGCGCTGAGCAAACCCTTTGGCGCTATATAAACTCGATGTAATAATAATAATAATAGCCAGTTAAAAGACAGAATGACATTACCAGCTAATGTTGTAATATTTAGCTTCAAGATTTCCCCAGCAGTACTTTTTTCTGAAGCTAGATGTCCTCGGGTTGATGGCCACCATCAATGAATCCACTTCCCCTGAGCCCCCATTCCCCTAGTCAGTGACTGGACATTGAAAGGAGAAGCAGCACAGTGATGAGCTTGGCTGTCACTCTGCTCTATCCTCCTATCGACATTCTCCTTGCTATCACATGAACTAAGTCCTTGTGTTGCTTATTCCTCTCATTGTACAGGGAGTGCAAGATGCTGACACTGGGTCAGATTCAGGCACTTACACTGCATGTGTTTATAAAATACATTTAATGATTACAGAGCTGTGTTAATGCAAGTCTTTTATATCTGCCTGGAGTTCAGGTTTAAAAGCTTGAAAGTTGCTTTTGTAGCTATATTAGCATGTTAAAGCTTATATGAGATTTTAGCGATTGGTTTAAATCTCCTTTTAACTAGTTGCCGACCGCAGATAGCCGAATGACGGCTTCACTGCGGCCGGCCAGTTCTGGGTGGACGTCATATGACGTCCCCCCAGAACGCGCTCCCTGGGGCGCGCACCCGGCGATCTCCGTGATCGCTGTGTCCTACGGACACAGCTGATCACGAGATGTGGTAAAAGGCCGATCATACCGGCCTTTTACCACGTGATCAGCGGTGTCCAATGACTTGCTGATCACAGGGAAATGCAAGTGCCACCTACCTGTGCCCAGCAGTGCCACCCACCTGTGCCCACCAGTGCCACCCACCTGTGCCCACCAGTGCCACCCACCTGTGCCCACCAGTGCCACCCAGTGTGCCCACCACCAGTGCTGCCCACCAGTGCAGCCCGGCAGTGCTGCAAGTCATGGCCACCAGTCAGTGCCCAGTGGTTGTGCCAGTCAGTGCCGCAGTCAGTGATGCCAGTCAGTGCCATCTATCAGTACCCATCATCAGTGTCACCTATCAGTGCCGCCTATCAGTGCTGCATATTAGTGCCGCCTATCCGTGACACCTCATTAGTGCTGCCTATCAGTGCCGCCTATCCGTGCCACCCGCCTATCCGTGCCACCTCATTAGTGCTGCCTATCAGTGCCCTTTAGTGCTGCCTATCAGTGCCCATCAGTGCCGCCTATCGTGCCCATCAGTGCTGCCTCATCAACGCACATCAGTGAAGGAGAAAAAATACCTGTTTGAAAAATTTTATAATAGAAACAAAGAAACTTTTTTTTTTTTTTTTCAAATTTTTTGCACTTTTTTAATTTATAGCGCAAAAAGTAAAGCGCCCAGTGGCGATTAAATACCACCAAAAGAAAGCTCTATTTGTGAGAAAAAAATGATCAAAATTTCATATGGGTACAATGTTGCATGACCGCGCAATTGTCTCAAAGTGCGGCAGCGCTGAAAGCTGAAAATTGGCCTGGTAAGGAAGGGGGTATAAGTGCCTGGTAGGCAAGTGGTTAAAGTAAATCCATTGTATGACAAAGATTCCTGACATATTTTGTGCTCCTTTTTATAGAATTATTTTTTTAAAAATGTTTTTATTTAGTTGATGCTTGACCTGAAGAAACTGCTGCTTCGGGTTCCCTCAGGTCATGAGTTATGCCAGGGCCTTAGTCACATGGTTGTTCAGGCACAGCCAGCCTATTGGCATATCTACCTACTCGTAGTTTTTCCTTGTTTAGCAGAGATCAGACGATTACTCCTGTTGCGTTCAGTAAGCCCACTGAACGTGACCCATTCAAGCAAATAGGGAAGTGTTGCAAATGCCCTACATTTGCATGCAGTTGCAGCACGTTGGTGGGGCAATTACTGGGTTAAAGTAGGCAGTAAGGCGGCTTCACATTGCCTCCTTACCACCTGTCAAAGACCTCTGAAAAGCAAACACAATGCAGATTACTTTTTAGAGCTGTGGCTGTCTAAAGTTTGCCTTTTCTATAGGGAAATCTTCTCAAGTGGCCCAAAAGACCACAAAAATGGAAACGTTTTGGCTGTTCTACAGTACATGTTAACATTTTTACTAGGATGACTAAAAATAGTACCAGAGAGGCTGATGAGTTGAGCCTTCCTGGAGAAAATGCTGCTAGACTCCCTCTAGTGCTGCTCATGGATTATAAGCCTCTCCCTCTAGGTCACATGAGATCTGCCAATCTGAAATTTTAGCTTTCCTTTTTGCAGAAATGAAATGAGCAAATGCCGAGGTTTTAGGTAATGTAAGCACTGGAGATTGGGATGTGACATCGAACCAAACCTGACATATCCGCTTAGGTGTGCGGTGTATTCGGTTAGTTCCTTCCAACTGCAACCACCTGCAAACCAAATATCATATATCAGATGTGCTGGGGGGAGTTACTAAAACTGGAGCACTCAGAATCTGGTGTAGTTGTGCCTGGCAGCCAATCAGCTTCTAACTTCAGCTTGTTCATTTAAGCTTTGGCAATAAAAACTGAAAACCGATTGGTTCCTGTGCAGAACTGCACAAAGTTTTGCACTTTCCAGGTTTAGTAAATAACCCCCATCATGTCTGATCCCCTCACCACCAGCTCAGTGGGTTTCCCTTTTTGTAACGTCATCCTATATACACATTATAAAATTGGGTTTATTTAATGTGCGACTCCAGCAGAACATTTTTCTTTATAGTTCTGGATAGAGTGGTCCTTGGCATTGTAAAAGGTGATGGGGGCTGCTAGAGGTGTTAAGCTGAACTCCAGCCTGCCCTTCAGTCTTGTAAAGTTAGGCTTCTGCGGTGCTGAAGGCTGGTACACACAGGCCGAATATTGTCTATATCAGCAGGGTTCAACAGAAACCAGCCAACATTCGGCCAATGTGTCTGAGAGAAGCCGATCAAGCATGCTGGAAAACTAGCATCTGATCAGTGCTGGCAGCCAGTGCCTGCGAGCGCTGATCACTGTGTCCTGGCAGGGGGGCGGTCCCTTTGTCAGAACACAGTAGCTCTGCTGGGAAGATTGGCGCACATCACTTGCTTAGTACGCAATTCATTTGCATTAAGCCTGCCCTAGGTAACACCCGCATGGCAAGTCCCTATAATTGAAACCAACTGAATGACAGAGGCGGGTGAAGAACATTCAGACTGGGGCGGAAAGAGCTAGGTGATGATGGATGTTCTCAAACCAGGAAATGAGTCGGCTTCTGTGTGACTTGCTGCAGCTTTTAATGCACATTATGAAAAGCTTAGAGCAATGCTTTGCACACACACAGTTTTTTTTTTTTTTTTTTAGTACGCAACCTTTTTTTTCTTTCTTTTTTTTTTTTTTTTTTCTTTCGCTCAGCCCGCTGGGTGGAATAACAAAAAAAGAAAAAAAAACTGTGTGTGCAAAGCATTGCTCTAAGCAATAATGTGCATTAAAAGCTGCAACAAGTCACACAGCGGCCGACTCATTTCCTGGTTTGAGAACATCCATCATCACCTAGCTCTTTCCACCCCAGTCTGAATGTTCTTGACCCGCCTCTGTCATTCAGTTGTTTCAATTATAGGGACTTGCCATGCGGGTGTTACCTAGGGCAGGCTTAATGCAAATTAAATTGCGTACTAACCAAGTGATGTGTGCCAATCTTCCCAGCAGAGCTACTGTGTTCTGACAGGGGGACCGCCCCCTGCCAGGACACAGTGATCAGCGCTCGCAGTCACTGGCTGCCAGCACTGATCAGATGCTAGTTTTCCAGCGTGCTTGGTCGGCTTCTCTCATACTGGCTGCTGTACACATTGGCCGAATGTTGGCTGGTTTCTGTTGAACCCGCCGATATACAGAAGAGATAGGAATGCCCACTCCTCATACTGACACCCACCCCAACCCATGAAGGCATTTTGATATTTGCATGAATCCACCCAAGAGCCAGCCCACTGCTTGTACCAGGACTGAGGGCTCTTGAGAGGAGTAGTGGCAGGGTGCTGTGATGTTTTTAGGCAGCTATGTACAGCACCCAGCTGGCTCCTCCCACCAGCCATGTATAGGGTGCACAGAGACCCAGTGATGAACTCGCTGATTCCAAAACAAGGTATGTAATGAAAACATTAAGGTTTAATTTAATAATTTCATTTGCATGCTGATGAGAGACTAGGAAGGTGCCAGAGAAGGCAAAACATAAGCGGGTTAAAGTCTGGGTTAAAGCTAATGCATTTTCGAGGGTTCAAGAGGTCCTCTGTCATCAAATTTTTTTTTTTTTTAAAATCAAATTATGAAAATATAGCCACATTGAATTGAAGTTTGTGGACTTTAGTACTTTTGTTGTGCATGTTTTTTTTTGCATTTTACATGTCCACTTTACAAGCATACAGTGAAGGAAATAAGTATTTGATCCCCTGATGATTTTGAATGTTTGCCCACTCACAAAGAAATGATCAGTCTAAAAATCGAATGGTAGGCGTATTGTAACACTGAACAACAAAAGAATTCAAAAGAAATGCATGTCTAACAAATGACTGATTTGCATGTTCATGAGGGAAATAAGTATTTGATCCCCTATCATTCAGCAGGATTTCTGGCTACCAGGTGTCTTTCATACAGGTAACAAGCTGAGATTAGAAGCGGTCTCTTAAAGGGAGTGCTGCTAATCTCATTTTGTTACCTGTATAAAAGGCACCTGTCCACAGGAGCAATCAAACCATCAGATTCCAAAATCTCCACCATGGCAAAGACCAAAGAGCTGTCCAAGGATGTCAGGGACAAGACTGTAGACCTACACAAGGCTGGACTGGGCTACCAAACTATCACCCAAGCAGCTTGGTGAGAAGGTGGCAACAGTTGGTGCAATCATTCACAAATGGAAGAAACCCGAAACAACTGTCAGTCTCCCTAGGTCTGGTGCACCATGCAAGATCTCACCTCGTGGAGTGTCAATGATCATGAGAACAGTGAGGAATCATCCCAGAACTACACGTGAGGATCTTGTCAATGATCTCCAGGCAGCTGGGACCACAGTCACCAAGAAAACAATTGGTAACACACTACGCCGAAAAGGATTGAAATCCTGCAGTGCCCGCAAGGTCCCTCTACTCAAGAAAGCACATGTCCAGGCCCGTCTGAAGTTTGCCACTGAACATCTGAATGATGCAGGGGAGGACTGGTTGAAAGTGTTGTGGTCAGATGAGACCAAAATCCAGCTCTTTCGTATCAACTCAACTCGCCATGTTTGGAGGAGGAGGAATGCTGCCTATGACCCCAAGAACACCATCCCAACTGTCAAACATGGTGGTGGAAACATTCTGCTTTGGGGGTGTTTTTCTGCTAAGGGGACAGGACAACTGCACCGCATCAAAGGGACGATGGACGGGGAAATGTACCATCAAATCTTGGGTGAGAACCTTCTTCCCTCAGCCAGGGCATTGAAAATAGTTCGTGGATGGGTGTTCCAGCATGACAATGACCCAAAACACACAGCCAAGGCAACAAAGGAGTGGCTGAAGAAGAAGCACATTAAGGTCCTGGAGTGTCCTAGCCAGTCTCCAGACCTTAATTCGATTGAAAATCTGTGGAGGGAGCTGAAAGTTGGAGTTGCCAAACGTCAGCCACCAAACCTTAATGACTTGGAGAGGATCTGCCAAGAGGAGTGGGCCAAAATCCCTCCTGAGATGTGTGCAAACCTGGTGGCCAACTACAGGAAACGTCTGACCTCTGTGATTGACAAGGGATTTGCCACCAAGTATAAGTCATGTTTTTGTGAAGGGGATCAAATACTTATTTCCCTCCTGAAAAATCAGTGCATCATTTGTTAGACATGCATTTCTTTTGAATTTTTTGTTGCTATTCTGTCTCTGTGTTACAATACACCGAACATTTTTAGACCGATCATTTCTTTGTGAGTGTGGCAAACATTCAAAATCAGCAGGGGATCAAATATATTTTTCCTTCACTGTATATACACAAGTATTTGCCAAAATCACGTATCTCTTTATCATGGTATTATCATTTCAAAAGTCATTTTCAGTCTTTAAGTCTGTGATTTTAATTAAAACCGTTGTTTTAGTGTTTTAGCAAATGAAATGTTGTTCATTTGGGGTTTACATCTTTATATGGACCTACATGATTGTTCATGACACATTCTCACCATTATGTAAGAAGTAAACCATCTTACAATGATGTTGCCAATGACCGACTCAGCATACGGCC